GCGCTTGCGGGACCCCCGCCTGGACCAAAAGTGGCAGCGAGCCCTGTTCCAGGCCAAACGGCCGGAGCTACATTCGGCGCTGCCCCAAAAGGTCCACCACCAGGACCCAAACCGCCAGCCCAACCAAAAACCATAGTCACATTTGGGGCGGCGCTTGCGGGACCCCCGCCTGGACCAAAAGCTGCAGAGAGCCCTCTTCCAGGACAAAAGCCGCCGCCAGTAAAGGCACAGCAGGCGCAAGCCGGCAATCCTTCTGATGCTGCTGGCCAACAAATTGCCAAGTTCATTGTGTCGCAACTCCGGCTTAGGGAAGTCTGCACTTCGGGGCTCTTAACCCAGCTTTTTTTTCTCCAAAGGAGCTTAAAGACATCGGTACGGTGGTTGACACCGGTTGATGCGTGGATTCCGCGCTGGTTCCTTGCCCGGCATCCGAGGCATGGAGGAGGAGTGATGAGCCGAGAAAGGCTAAAACTTTTCCTCCAGTTACTCGACTCTGGTCACTCTGGTCACATCACAGTCTCCCTTTCTCTGTGAGGCGCGGTAGCACGGGCGCTCAGCTAAGGATACTTTTGAAGAAGCACAAAGGCAAGACTCGGCTAAGCTCTGGTCAACTCGATACTTTGCTCGACTCCTTCGTGGAAGAGAGGTCAACCGTAGCGTGGCAGGAACACCTTGCGGATGTTGGGCTTGCAATTCACAGGTCCGGATTCAATTTTCCAAATGAGGCTGGCGATATTGAAGCGAGCGAGTTCGTAGAATGGGCCTGGAGCAGCCTGTCAGAACTGTTTCAGCCAGCTTCCGTCCCGACAGAAACTCATTGGTGCTTGCCCCAGGCGCTTAGCAGCACGCGACTGACCGCTGACCCGCTGAAGACATGCCTCGGTCACATGGCAGTTGGTTCAAGTTCTGCCCGGGGAGACCGGGCGAGTCGCCCTTTTTGGTAGGCCACGGTGCAGTGAGGTCAAAAGGCTGGACAGGAAGAACGACAGGATGAACATTATAAAGATACAGCTGAGTGGAAGAAGGTACTGCAAGGTAAAGGGGCCGCGAATTATGTTGCTGTAGTTGAGTGTCTCAACGGAGTTGAGGTTTTCGGGTTTCCACTGTCAGGAGCCTGGGCATGACTGCAGGGGCTGGCACGGAAGAATTGTTTTGCCGGAGGCCGCGAAGCAACTCCAAATGACAGCCGGAAAGGTGGATTCCTGATGGTTGTGAGACACGATCCCAGACACACGGTCCCTGCGATAGTCCCCGATAGTCAGTAGTATTGGTGCGAGTCATTCGCCGCCCATGAGCGCAGCGTCCACTTAGTACCACTTGTGAGGATCACGCAGTGCATTATTTCCTGATCGGTCTAGGCCCAACACCATGCGGCCTAGGTTGTGGAAGGGCATCCATCGATGTGGTTCTCCAGCGGTCATGTTCGCAAGAACCATTGGGCCATCCGTTCCTCCCAGACTCAACAAACCCTGGCCCGCAGAAGTACTGCGCGCCAGGGTTTCGTCCCCGCAGCATGGTGCTATGGCTTTTTCCTGGCCCCTCTGTGCCTTGCACCACTGGCTCATGGGTGTCTGCTCTCCAACTGTCCTGACGAATATTCTGAATACGAAGCTTATCCCGTAGCATGATGTAGCACATTGAAGACCCGCAGACAAGTTGCAGACGTGCAAGTGGACAAATTTCTCAGAAGATGCTTTCAACGTTTGCATATGTGCGAGCTGGGATGATGACCAGCTCACTAGGATTTGGAATTCAATCACTCTAGCTCGCTCGTGCTTCTATGTGTGGCACGACTAGCCACAGTGCCTGTCACAGTGGCTGTTGTGATTTCCAAGACAGGTATGCCCACATTGTTGGCATGTGGCGCAGACGGGCACTGTTTAAGCACGGCCTCTCAAGGAGCCATCGTGAAGTTTCACCTTGTAGCAGGCTTTGCAAAGCAAGGTCTTAGAGGTCATGCAGGGTCGGAGCTGGCCAGGAAGGACCTTGAAATCTTGAAACTCAGAGGCTTACTTGCAGGATCTTGCGACCTACGCGACAGGATGGTTGTCCTGGCAGCTGGGGTTAGTGCATGTGGAGGTAGGTGCGGCGTCTCAGTGCCCACGGAATATCGGCAATGATTATGTCGGATAACGTTCTCTTTACTATCGACAGAGGTGAAAAGCCATCCGGAGAAATCGGCCCTGGACACGCCTGTGGTTTTTCATGGACAGACTTTTCAGTGCTGGGCTCAAGTCGTAGGGGGCGAAGTCCCAAGTAGGAAAGGCTAGTGCTAGCCTTCCAACCTGGTTGACCGGCATGGCAGCTGTCGGCTGCATATCTGCCGCAGCTGGAGTGGTGGTGGCCAAGCTCTGGACCGAGAGCGAAGCAAATGAGATAGACCAGCGGTTAGAGGAAGTCAAGCGACAGGCGCTGGAAAGGAGTCCGGCAGGAATAGATCCGGTAGTAGCTGTGCGCCATCTGCTGGAAACGTTGGACTGGAGTTTGGCAAACGCCGGACGGCATCGCCTGCAAAGTGCAAGCGACATTGTCAGGGAGTGCCTGAATTCACCATTGCGAGAAGAGGCAGAGACACAAGCTCTCGGTGACTCGCAACACGAAGAACTGGGACGCCATCTACGTAAAGTGCGACAATTGTGCTCTGCACCAAGCCGGAAGAGAGCTCCAGAATTGTGTCCACAGGTGGGTGACTGTTTCGAGACCTGAGTGTTATTTTTCCCTTCATGGGCTTGACCCTGAGGTGCACGCCGGGCGAACAGGGGCTCCGTCAAAAGGCGGCACTGCCAGCAGTGGGAGCACGTGCGATCCGGAACATGGAGGCACCATGCAGGACAAGCTTGGCCTTTGTGCCGCCTTGTCCTATGTGCTTTATGAGTTTTTGATATTGCAGCACGCTGCACGTGGCTGCCTACAAGACACCCCTCGAAAGTCGCTGAGATTGGCTCTGTCGTCTCTGGCGCAGCATGCGCCGTTTGCAAAAGGCAGGACGGGAGAGTGGATGGTACCCTGCAAAACGAAGGGCAAAGTGCATGCACAGAGCTGGTGGCGGCAGTCCTCTTCTCCCGAGAAGGACTTTCGAACAGCGGCCGTGATCTTGATTTGTATCTTGGATGCAGCACTGTCATGGAGCCCGCTTGACCTCTTCGGATGGATGGGAAAACCTGAGGACGTTGAAGGATGCCTGCTTGCTCGACAGAGGGATAGATGCGTTTATCCAGCCTATGCCAGCAAGCTGCGTGCCTGTCTCAAGGCTGCTTGTTCCGCATCCCCAAAATCTGCGGTTCGAATTGAGTCGCATCTTGCGGCGATGAAGTCGCGAGACCTTCCGAAGCCTTGGGTGACAGCTTGGGTCAGCGTACAAGGTCGCGACTCGGGGCCCATGATATTCCGAAATAAGACCAAAGTCCCTTTGCGCCTTGAGCTTCACTCAACTTCTCAAAGCCTGGCTTGGCCAATGTCGGTTCTTCAAAGTTTCTGGTCCGGAGAGCGATTGGTGTTAGCCGCCCATGTCCAGCCTGGAATCGAAAAGGCACTTCGTTTGAAGAAAGAGCTTGGGAGCGAATTTCAGCTTCATTTGCTCACGGCTTCGGGCGTTCGAGTGTGCTCGCATCGGCTTTGCCGAGGCGAAACTTTCGATTTTCAGATTGACGTTCCGACAAAGCCGGCGCAGCTTCGTACCTACGTGATGTCGAAAACAAAGACGACGCAGAAAGGTATGAGTTCGGAATCATGTACATCAAGGCGTCTCAGCCAAGCCAGCACAGCATCAACAGCTTCCTCGGGCACGTCATATACGTCATTTCCCATGGCCGCTGCTGCGTGGCCACCGTCGATTCTAGAGTCGACACCGATGGTAGTGGATGGTTTCACGTCGTGCATATGCCCACGCTGTCTCGCACGCATGACGTACCAATTGGCACGGCCTCGTCTACCGACTTATGCAGGAGGTGTCAGTTGCGATCATTGCCAGATGCAGCTTCTAGGCGAGGAGTCTCTAGAAGCTAAGATGCAGACCTTGGCCAAAAGTTCATTTTGTCATTGCAGCCGTTGTCAATTTGATCTCTGCCGCCTGTGCGCCTACAAAGAGATGCAGCAGGTCTGGTGGAAACATCATTGATTAGCTCCTGTCGAGCTGCCTGTACAGCTGCTTCCTGCTTGCAGCAAAAGGCTAGCCCGTCGAAGCAAATGACGAGGCGGCAAGAAGACTACATGTAGAGCAGCTGCTCCTTTTGATGTCACCGCCCGTACGAGCTCCTGTGATAGAAAGGCCACGCCATGTATTTGAAGGTGCTTGCCGCCCTCTTTCATCAAATGCCTGGCGCTCGGGTTGGCGAGGATTTCCGGGATTAGGTTGCCACCAGCCGATGTTCTAACAAACTCTGTGCACGTTCGTGGGAGGGACATGCCAAACTCAGAAACCAAGAGGGAATGTGTCGCCAACTTCGGCTCGAAAACGCAGACCGCGGTCTCTGCGCGATCTTGCACCATGGCGTTCCCCGGCTGAAAGTTCATGCTGTTTGATGTGCATTCGTAGGTAGGTAGATAAGCAGGCAGGTGGGTCGGTGGATAGGTGGCATGTGCGACAGTGAGCCCAGATGTGAGTAGCTGCAACCATAAACATGCCTTAATGTGTCGAGTGAGTAATACATAGATATCTTGACCTTTGATTGTGCGTGCCTGCGGGCCGGTATGGTCGGGGCGCGCTAGGGCGGGTTGGGCTAATGGCCAGCGTGCCCACACCCCTCTTTAACCGATTTGCCATACTTGAGTGTGCAGCTTTCCTGGCTTCCTGTTTGTTGTTGTTGTATCCTGCCTTGAAGAGCTGGCGATATGCAATGCTGAATTTCGGAGCTCCCCTTATGGCTGAGCACCACGGTGTGTGTGTGTGTGTGCCCGTGTGCTCTTTTGTCCGGGGGCCCGATCGCCGGTACAATTACGTTGTGCGGCATGAGTTGCATCTAACGACCTGGTTACCTAGTTTTTCATGTCATGCCAGGGTTTGTGCGCGGTTGTATAATGTAGCTAACGACAGTGATGCAGGTGTGAGAGAATTGTTGCAAAAGTACGTGCAGTGTTGGATCAGCATGCTGAGATGTAGTCTCATTTTGAGATATGTTTGCACAGACGCGTAAAGAAGACCAGCCTGCAAACAAGGCACGCATGGTTGAAGGTGGTGTGGATCATCGTCGCAGGCCCCCTTGGTTGCTGTTGCTGAGTGGGCAGACTGGTCCCATGAGAGTGCACGGATCCATTCGCCACGCACCTTTCAGGGAGATGCATGGCATCGGCTGCTTGGATGTAGACTTCTATGAGAAACGAAGATTTCCAGGGGCGCATTTCGCAGAAGAGTGTCCGACCGACCTGCGAGCAGCAAGAAACAGAGGTTCCTGCCACTGATTCGATTCCGTGCTTGAGGCGACACCCACACTTCGGGAAGCACTGCTTACAGAGGCGAAGCACAGGCTGCAAGATTGGCTGCTGTGCTGCATTACCTTCCCGTCATGCAAAGCAACTCCTGGCCGTTGCAGCCCAGGTTCCTCAACAACGACTGGAGGCAGCATCCCCCGCCGGATGGTCGGCTGCTCGCTGTGATGTATTGGATGCTAACGGCTAACGCATCGGCAAAGGCCCAAAGCAACAAGATTTTTGTAGCATCAAAGCTCTTGCTGGAGCTGACCCGGCTTTCTTGATGCAGTGATGCAGCACTTGTCTGCAAGGTTAGATTGGCCCAAGCGGGAAGATGGCATCCAGCTGCAGATCACGACCAACAACTATGTGTGCTGCTTGTCTTTGTTTTGGTTGGCAACCAAGGTGCTCTCTACTCAGTGGTGGAAGCTCAACCCATCCTAGCCGGCCTAGCCTAGGCGATGAAGAGTCGAGGATCGAACCCTGGGAGGCTTTCTCCAAACTCCAAAACCGGGCCGGGGCCACTTTCTTGTGATTCGTCGCAGGGCATTCAGCTTGACAAGACGCATCCACCTCCGCGCCCAGATGCGTCTTGGATTACTTCGTGCTCTGCTGATCCAATAAAATTGGTGCTTGAACACCGTGGTCTGCAGGTAATTCCGATCACATTTGGCCGATTTGACGTGCAGTCTCTCACTTGCAAGACTTCAGAAGTTCATGTGGTTGAGATGGGTTGTCCGACGACACAGGTTCATGACACTGCACTCACGATCAAAGGATGCCTATACAGTGTGTTGTCGACAGGAACGCAGAGGTTATCGATGTCTTCAACGCTCTAGCCGATACGAAGGGCGAGGACTCCAGGGAAGCTGTGGACTAGCCTCTATCCTTCCATGTCCTGCGCAGATGAAACTAGGCCACTCCTCTTCTCTGCCACGAGAGCCAGTACCTGCGTTCGATTCTGATCTGATGCAGGCTGAATGGGACGATCTTTTGATGAACGGCCCGGGCGTCACGCCACTTGACACACAAGGGGTGCGTGGCATAGTCACCAGTCGACATGGCCATGGGGTCTGCAGACAGTGTCAGCGCTTGGACGGCTATTGTTGAATTGCTTTGCCGCTGTCAGGTACTTGGGAGACTTCCCAAACGAGTTCGCCCGGGCAGCTGCCGTTAGTTTTGTGGCACGCCCATTCCCAGACAGACAGGTAGCTTGGCTAAAACCGTCTGTCATGTGCTGGCCCATGCACGGCTGGCTACCAGCCTTTGGTGAGGAGCCGGGAAAGTGTGTTTCTTTCTGAGGTCTTCCAGTGGATGGTGTACAACTCCACCCAGAACTATGATGACATGTGACGTGCCTGCATAGTTGCGGACGGTCGGGAAGTGGACATCCTGCGCACCTGTGGACGACAGTACGAACTGTGTTTTCTTGACGAGTCTTCCTTGATGGCCACAGCCTCTTCAGTGTTAAGGACGGTGGTGTACTCGACGCGAAGAAATGCCGCTCTTCACCAGCGCGGTGTAGAGGATGAAGGCGTGCCAGTTTGCTGAGAGAACGTCTTGTTTTACGCATTTCATGACGTTGATTGTTCCGCTTTGGTGCGTCACAGTGCCTACCATCCCTTCAATAACGATTGTGGTTCGGAGACCCACGCGGCTTGCAGAGGCTGGCCTGCCGTGCAGGCACAGAATTGCTTAGGGTTCCTTGGCTGCGTCTTCTGACGGCTTCGGGGCAGACGTCGACAGCTTCAATCTGCGTTCCGATTGTCTGAGATCAGCTAAGGGCTTATCACGTGATGGCCTTGCCACAAGGTGGTTGTCACGTGAATGGGCTGCATTGTGTCTGTCGACTGTCAGTTCCTTTTTGATCCACGGCCGGCCAAAATGGGCAAGCTTGGCATGAGGTGGTATTTACGACCATGGTGAACTCACACCCGCCGTGGCCGATCACGGCACAGTTTCCCGGCTGACTAGGTCTTAGGCGTGTTCCGTCACTAGGAACACTTCCATTGACTAAAGCAGTGCCTGGGCTGCCAAACACCAAGAGTTGCAATCTGTGACTGAGATCAAAGCAACAGCCAGCCGCTAGCTAGGTCCAGGTGCTGCACTGAGTATTCCTGCAGCAGCTAGGGAACCATGGAGTTGCGGAACCGTTTTCTCCGTGTTTGAAAGCAAGAGCTGTCTGACAAGCTCGCATGGTAGCTGAGCTGTTGCTGTTGTGGTCAGCGCCTTGCCATGTGTTCTGCCAGCCACCAGTGACGATTAGAATGCGAAATCCCCAGAAACACAAAACAAGTTTGGAAGAACAGCTTGCTGGTCTGGATTCACACCCGAACATGTCCATGCAAAGGTTCGTATTCAACATCGCATGGACAAAAACAGCCGAGTACATTGAGGCCACGAAATGTTCTGCATGCATGTTGCACGTTTGACCTTGCGTCGCAGAAGAACTGTCTCTCAATGGCAGAAACTCCGAGCACGTGCCCAGCTGCTGAAACGGAGGTGCGAGTGTTGGGCGCAAGTTCATTTAGTCCTGCCTTTGCGCAGCAGCCAGTATTGTGCCACGCACCAATCGTTCAAGACGGAGGCGTCTCGCTGCAAACACACCTGCCAGTCCGGCTTCGGAGCTGCACCAAGCGGGGGGTCCTTCTGCACATCGAGTTAACATATATAAATACAAGTGCAAATATGGATGTAAATACAAGCATAAATTAATTAATCAAAATATGTGTAGATAAAATGAATAAGTACATATATATATATATATATACATGCTTAAACTTACACGTCTGTATTTATGTATTCATTTACTCGTACGTATGTTTGTAATTATGCATGTATTCCGTGTATGTATGTATGTATGCATGTATGTATGTCCGTGTGTGTGTGTATGCATGTATGCATGCATGCATGTATGTATGCACGTATGTGTGTATGATTGCATGTGTGTGTGTATGTATGTATGTATGTAAGTAACTAATGTATGTATGTAGGTAGGTATGTACGTTTGTGTATGTTATGTGTGTGTGTGTGTATGTGTAAGTGGGTGCATCCATGTATGTATGTATGTATGTATGTATGTATGTATGTATGTATGTGTGTGTATATGTGTAGACGTGAAGACGTGAATATATGCATAGATGTATATGTATATATGTATGCGTGTATATGTGTACACGTGCTTACATGTATAGTTATAGTTGTATATATTTACAGATGTACAGGTGTTTATACATTCAATTGTACATATGCACATGTATATGTACTTGTGTACGTACCTGTATATGTACTTGTAGATGTATCGGGTTATATTGTGGGTGCCCAATTTCCAGACTGAAGGTGCAAGGAAAACTCATCAAGTGCAGCTCCTGCTTGAGGTAGTTCCCCGATGGCTCTTGTTCGATGGCATGGTTCCCAACAAGGCTTCGGTTCACCGAGCTTTTCTCACTTGACGGTTTTTGTGGCTGGCATGCCTGAGACCGAATCTGGAGACTTGTTCGTCGAGGGCGTGCCAAAGGTCAATCCTCCCTTCCAAGGCGCGTTGGTGCACTGTGGTGATTTGCCTTGTCCATGCCAGAGTCCGTCATGCAGCAAGAAGTGAAGAAGGAAACATGGGACAAGCAGAATGCTTGGCTAATGCTGTGTGTGCACTTGCCGTGGCGTTGTGCAAATGCCCCGGTGCAGGACCTGACTATGTGGTTGCAGCTTGTC